GAAAATAATAAAAATAATAATAAATATAATAAATATAAGCTACATGTATTAAATAATCAATTATTATTATTATTATTATTATTCATTATATATTCATTACTCTGCATCTCATACAGTCTTGATATTGTTCTGTCATAAGCAAAGAGCTCCTCCTCACCAGTAAATATACTGTAAGACACTGCATCTTCCTATTATTAATAACAATAATAACAATAATAATAATGATAGCAATACTTGATTAATTTGAAGGTCATCCATTAGTTGTCTGGTATGATCACTGTCACTTGTCATTATTTTATTGGAAAATAACTTTGAAGGAGAACCTTGAGCTGTACACACTAACTTAACCTGAGGAGAGAGAGAGAGAGGGAGGGAGAGAGAGAGAGGGAGAGAGATGGGGAGGGAGAGAGAGAGTCACACAGTATATAGTTAGTTCACATACTTTATGATCATAGAGTGTATCTATTAGTGTAATGAACCGTCTCCCTTGAGTCCTCATTTGGTTAGTAATGCATGGAATATCTTGTATGAATATTGTATTGAATACTTTACATATTTCAATGTAATCAGCAGCACTTAGAGGCTATATAGCAAACAAAAAAAACAAATAATAACAACAACAATAATAATAACAACAACAACAACAACAATAATATTCTTCAATTCCCTTATTCTTATCAGTCTATTATATTAGTCCATTGGTACAGTGTGTGTGTGTTGTAGTGTACTAGTAGTTACTGGTAAAACCACAAATAAAAACAAACCATTACTAGTACTAGTATAAAGTCACTGTACAAAGTATATATACAGGAACCAATTAATTAAATTACAATCACTCATTCCTAGAAGGATGACTCATATACACTTGTCTAGACACCTACACATGGTAACAGTAGCCATGTACTATAAAGTAACTGTACATCCATACATGTAATGGAAATACTGTACTATACTGCATACTGTTTTACTGATTGTCATACTATTTTACTGGTAAAACCATGTACATGTACATGTACATGTACATGCAGTATACTACAGGAACCAATTATACATGTAAATGGAAAACAATTACAGTCAAACCTCTCTAAGACGGACACCTATGGGCCAGCCATCACTGTCCTTTATATGGAGGTGTCCTTAAATCGGAGGTTATCCCATGGTTATCCCAGAAAATCAGCCATTTTCTTGATGCAAGTAAATTAGAAAGTCTGTTGTGTGGGCCGTGTCCGTCCGTTGGAGGTTAATTTGTACACGTGTAGATGTGTGGGGACGGTAAATCTGGTCCGTTATACAGAATAGAGAGGTTCCGCTATACAGAGGTTCTTTTATACACTACCCAATGGCCTTATGGCTGGGACAAGAGCAACTGTACATTATGGAGAGGTGTCCGCTAATTGGGGGTTCATTATAGAGAGGTTTGACTATACAACCACATCTTATACTATACTACTAATGTACTAGTACAGTACAGTATATAGTTCCTCTTTTGAGAGATCACCCTTGGGTTATGGGAAGTGTTATTCTTACAAGAGGTGGTTTTTCACCCAGGGGGGTGGGGGGTGGGGGGCACTCCCTTAGTACATGTACATGTACATCACTTACCCTGTTACAAAGCTCATCAAAGTGGAAATATGCCAAGTCAGCACACGACTGGTCTATGAGTAGCTCTCGTCCTAAAAACTTTAACTTGGTCCGTGAAATAACTAAAAGAAGAGAAAGGGAATTAAGAAAGAAGGTCTGGGTCAGACTTCAGTTAGTGGTATAAGATTAATTCTGAGTTTAATGAGCATATCCTACCCATCAAAAAATGAGTGAATTATTGGTCATAATGCTCAACTTATCATCTTATAGTACATTTATATGTACATCATGTGCAGTGTGTGTGTGTGTGTGTGTGTGTGTGTGTGTGTGTGTGTGTGTGTGTGTGTGTGTGTGTGTGGT